CTGTGTACTTTGCTCCCTTGGACTACTTTGACAAGGAGAAGGGTTTCCTGCTGAAGCCTGAGGTCAAAGAGAAATATGCCAGCAAAGAGTCTGGCCTCACAGTGGGGATCCACATGGGCAAGCCACTGCCAGCCAACAGCCAGACCAAGGCTGGAGTCTGACAATGGAGTGGGTCCATGTAATGTCTTGGTCTTAAAATAAAGCCTGCTTTATTCCAACTTTGAGCAATGAGTTATAAATGCACCACTTGGGTTTCATACACGTTATCCCTCTAGAACATGATGTATACTACCACAATGTAATGATGGTTCCAAGTCCCTATAGGATCCAGTCATGTATGGCTTTAAATGTGATGGAGAACTGAGTTTGGGGGGGCTGGCTATGTTTCCACATGCTAATGCATATCCATGTTCTAATAGGAACACACAGGTGTTTGGGGTTTTTCCTTTTTTGGGGGGGTGGGGATGACTGTACACCAAGGTTGAAAGCAAGACTGACACCTGATCGCTGCTGTAGATCAGGTGACTGCAAGCCCTATTGCGCCTCACTGCCTATACTGCTGGGTTTGCTATGAACGCAGCTTTAAGATCACACTTTCAGCAGTACGTGTTCTTTCTGTCCTTGATGCAGTTTACACTTTACCATTGCAATTTTTGTGAGGTAAAAATGTCTATTGCCACTGTGGGCTCTTCCACGATTTTGCTCCTCCCGCACATGAACTGAAATCCACTGACTGTGATGCCAGTGCACAGGAAGAGTAAAGCATGTTTAATATTTAAAGATTGTGTTTCTCCTTTTTCTAATATTTGTACTGAAGGCTTTTAAGCATTTCTATTCACCTGCCACGAGTTGGTCAAGCAAATCCATCATGTGAGAGCCAATAGTTTTGTGTACCAAATTCAACCAAGATTAGGCCACTCATGTGCTCCTCCACTACCAAGAACTGTAGAAGCCAATCACCTCTCGCTGCAGTGGAAGCACGCTAACTGTACTGAAGGCTAATCTACATTTATATGTAGTTCACTTAGCTACTTTTTAAAAAGTACAGGGAGGCAAAGCTCATTTATATGAAAAGAAGGAGACAAGGCTTCAACTTTCGTTCATTTAATTTAGTTTTGCTAAATGGAAGTTCATGGTATAGTGGTAGAATACAGGGACACAAAGACTTTGTTGCCACATGCTTGAATTCTTTATCAATTAAGTCAATATCTCTTAATAAACTACACTAAAACCTACGAAAATTAAAGAATAAAAGGGAAATATGAAAAAAGGGAAACAGAAATGATCTGAAACAAATGTGCACAGACTGAAAAAAAAAAGCATTTGTAACATAGATGTATAGAAAAAAAACCTGATTCCCCACATATATTAATGCATGCTGTGACAACCCTTATTGTATTATAGCACCACTGGGGGGGGGGCGGTTTGCCCTACTATTATTGTAGTTGGGGGAGTCCCCTAGTGGGTGTGGGAGTATAGTGGTGGCCGTTACATGCTGATGGCGTCGCTGTTCAGAGAAACCTTACCGTTGTAACTTGGCTCCTCCCTCGCCAGACTGCTGTTACAATGCATCTATCGATTAATCCTGCATATAGTACATAGACTACAAGCGTGAGATTTGTGGCAATATAGTATAGCATAAAGCGTTTGTCCTATGAGTGACTGACTAAGCTGTTTCTGTCCCCCTGTTTTTTTCCCTTAGACCAGTTGAATGAAGGGAGAAAGGAATAAACTCTTTGTGCATGTGGTCCAGTGGCGCAATCGGTTAG